TATTTTGAATTTTGAAAATTATAATTTTCTAGTAAATTTCTTTAGAGCACGATATTACATAATTTTAGAGCTCAAAAACTTTAGAAAACATTCATTTAATAATTTTCAGAGTAAAAAATGTAATAAAAAAATGGTAATTTTTATTTCACTAAGTTTATAAGCAATCAATCCTATAAAATAGGACGGCCAATTATATTGACATCCGTTACAGCAATCCATTGAATGGAATGGCCAAAATGATGGCCATTCCTTTCTCAAAAAAAAGAAAAAAAAAAGAAAAAAAACTTTAGTCAAATCTCATTCAAAAAAAAAACCAATAATTAAAATTTTACTTTTCTGTTTCTTTGAAAGGTAAAATTTTTGGTATTATTTACTTTGTTTTAATGTTAGGAGGCACTAACGTGATCCGTTATTGTTGGAATATAAAAGACCTCAATAGCACAGGTACAAATCGTAACACATGGGACAAGAGAATATGTGTGTCGCCAAGTGAAAACTTTTTCATCTAAAAATAGAATTATTATATAAAATTTAATGATTCTATTTTTAGATGTGCAGGTTTTCACTTGGTGACACCCATATTTAGAATAAATTTCTACAATGAATAATGCAGTTATGGTAACGATTCTCTAAAGATAGAATGATTATGAGTTCGTACTCTGATATTATCATATTTAAGGTATACATTACATCCTTCCTTAGATGAAATCAATCATCTGCTGGAGTAAAGATTAAAATGAAGAATATTTTATTAATTGTCCTCGTTTTCTCTATTATATATCATCATGGGAGTATATCTGCTTTTGTTTCTCAAGGAAGGGCAGAACATAGTGCAGTTTATATTTCTAATAATACAAGACTTTATATTCTTGGTGGATTGAGTTTAATTGGATATGCTAGTAATCAGTTAGTTTATCTTGATGTTTCAAAACCTTTCACGATTAGCTCGTCAATGATCAATTGGTTTGACCTTTCTTTGATAGTAGGTAAAGCAAATAAGAGTAGTGCATCAGCTTGCGTTGATAGTAGTAACGTAATTTTTTATATTGGTGGAGTGTATAATGGAAGTCTTGTTAGCAAATTTGATACAGTATCCAATAAATGGAGTGAGCCAGTAATTTCTGGTTTACCTACGGAAACATTAACATACACTCAATGCGTAAATTCGGGACATAGTATATATATTTATGGTGGATTAAGCACTTATAAGATGAATATATTTGATTCTTCACAGTTAAATTGGTCCACATTTTCATCGGCGCTCGTATAGTGGAATGCAAGGCTACAGTGCTATATTACTTAATAATTTAATCTTGTACATTGGAGGGGGGTATGATTCACCTAATATTTGTCAATATAATTCAAATAATAAGGTACGATCTTAAGTTTTCTATTGTAATGTTTTGTAAATAGCATCTAAATTTCTTGCTTAATATACAATAAATACTTTGTCAAGTGCATTAAAATAATATTTAAGCAAATGATAAATTGCGCAGTATAAAATTTAGTGACATCTAATTTTAGGTAAATTATAAGAAATACTGTATTTATAAAAGGATGCAATTTGCTAAAAATTATTGTAATTATAAGAAAAAAAAATAACAGGAAAATTCTTTTGTAACTCGATGAAGAAAATTTTTATTATTATATATAAATGTAATGTTTTTTTCGTAATTTGTGACAAAAATATCAAGGAAAAACTCACATGACCATAATCACACGGACAAATAATTAATTAAATATAAATTTTATACTATGTTATAAAATTAAGATATCAGTTGCAACTTTCAATACAAGTGATAATACTTGGAGCATAGTTGTAAGTTTTGATAAAGCTCGTAATTTCAAAATTTAAATATTGTTAATAAGTTTAAAGTATAAAGTATACTAATAAACTTAGTCTACGTCTGGTAAAGCGCCTTCCGCAAAATGCGGTCATTCATCAGTCTATATTGGTATGTATTAGAATTAAGTCTCTTAAAGATATTTTAATTTATTTTTATTAATTTTATTAATTAATTATGTAGCTCAACATAATGTTATTTTATGGTAACGATAGTTCAATTAATTCACTCAACACTTTGACATTTACTTGGACAATCCCTGTGATTTTAAATACCGGAGGTCCTTCGCAAAGTTTGATGCAGCATACCTCTACATTAGTTGGAGGCTATGTTTTTATTGTATTTGGTAAGTATGAATCAACTATCATCGTAAATTATACAATTTAAATAAATATAATTTCATATCTATAGGGTATTATCCGAATTATACCATTTCATCTGATGTTTTTGTTCTTGATGTAAGTCATAACGATAGCTATAAATGGACAACGACTTATGATCCTGTCAATTCAATTATACCCGTTGTGCCAACCTCGACCGTAGGTTCAATACCGATACCAAGTTCAACATCATTACCTTCAAATGTCAATATAGGTGCCATCATTGGAGGCACAATTGGTGGAATCGCAGGTCTTATAGTATTATCAACTATTGCAATAATTAGTATTCTTATAATTAAGAAAAAATATTCTCTTGCTACTCTACAAGATGGAATCACAAATCATGAACCTACGCCATAATTTATTATATATATATATATATATACTGTATATATAATCTACGCCTATTTTTACTAAACATTTATTTATATTATATGCTATCTTTCTATGTAATTAAAACATAAACATTATGTATATCTTTCTATATAATTTAAAACATATACTTATATGGTTTAAGTAGTCTATACTGGGAGAGATCTTTAAATTTTAGCTTTGAACAAACGCTAAATATTTACTATGTAAAAGAATCTACGAAGAATTCAAAAACTGACGTATTGGAGAAAGATTCTACCAACATATATGGAAATTCAGATGCGAACTAGTAAATGAATGGGAAAAAAGAACCGGCATCACAAAGAGATCAAAGGAAACAAAAATAAAGAAGACCTAATGAACAAAAAAAAAAGAAGAAAAGAAGTCAGAAAAATCAAGAGAACAAAAAAAACCCAAATAACAGAGCCCATGAAGAAAGGAAACAGATGGCTAGCAAGGAAAAAAAGAAAAAGAAGCAAGAAGCCAAAATGCTCGCAAGCAAAAATATACTAAACGCAATAGAACTAGGTGCAAAACCTACCTAGTCTTCATGGGTGAAATGCAAAAGAAAAGAGGTAATATCTGAATTCATGACAAGGCCGGCAACCGCCAACCAATGACCGAGGGGCACAAATTCCTAGTAAGTTAGGGATCTCAAAGGAGGTAAATGGCTTGCTAAGGTGGGTCGCACTTGTACTTAGGTCGGGTGAGTCTTTATTAGTATAGACAACAAATGTATATATACGCATAAACAAATGTAATATAACATAGTCTAAGTAAATAAAGGCAGGACTGCCAAAATATATATATATATATATATATATATATATATATATATATTTATATAATATCAAGTAGGAAAAATGATAATACATGAATATATCAATTGGATATAAATGTGTAATTAAGTATTATTCCTAAACTATACTATTGTTGCTATATATATTAACAACATCTAGCGTGATATTATCCTTTTATTTTCTGTTATTAGTTAAATCAACTCCTGTTAATTATTAACTACAGAAAGGGGTAAAAGGGAAACCCTTAAGGATAGTTTAATTAATAAAAACAAGTATATATAGTGAAATTTTGAGACAAGGTTTTAGAAATGAAGAGATCTATATTAGTATTAAAAGTAAAAGTAGTATTATTAAGGTTTGAAGGTTGAGAGATAGGTAAGTGGGTGTTGTTTTTCTTTTTAGTAAAAGTAGAGATTCCTTGTGCTGATTCCCATTTATGTTGTTTAATGTTACGAGTTTGCCAAATGTAAGAGTTGAACCACTTGAGTAGAGAGTTAGATGGGCCTTGTATCGTACGAAACTTGTTTTGCTAAACCTCTCGGACTTAATATATTTACAATCTTTTCAATTGTACGGTATCATCATAGAGGCTTGTGTAGTATCTAATATATTGGCACCGGAGGTACACTCTTGAATTTTGATAGTAGATTATTTTTGGATCTTAATTTGGGATTGTCTTTATATGAATTTATTTCTAATGGCATTAAAAGCTATAACGATAACGATAATAAATTTTTTTAAGATAATAATTTAATTGGTTAATTATTGATCTCCAATATAATATTAACTTGATGTTCATCTTAACGCCATCATACCATCATAACACATTTTATGCCTGGTGTCAGGAATGTGATTCCAAAACAGTTGTTCAAGAAGGATTGTCAAGTGGAGATATAGGTGTTGATAATTTTATTGTTCAATTTAATAGAGAAAACATTCTAAACCTCGCCAAAGTAAATGAAAAATATCAATTCTCCTATTGTTTTGACAATATATAGAAACTAGAATTGAAATCACAAAATCCGGATACCTAATATAAATTGTCCAGATTTTGTTTTCAATTCTTTTCTATTGTATTTAACAATTGGATAATCATTGATAACGCGTATTTTGGTCACTCTAACATAATGAAAACATTTCAAATTATTAATTATATTACCTTGCGGATAATCTATTATTAATAAATTTTACTTAACGATATTAATCCAGTTTAAAGTATCGATATTATTCAAAACATTATTCAATACAGTGTAGGCAGTAAACCAATGTTTTGATCTTTTTTTTGACATTTTGATTTTTAGGATGAGATTTTTATTGTATTGTAGTTTATTTTAAAACTGTTTTACAGTTTATTTATATTAACTAATAGTTTATGGATCACATCTCTAATTGTAGTGTGAATAAGATTTACAACAATGTTATAAATATTCATTTCACTAAGTAGTTCGATCACTTTAATTTAATAACAATACAATTTATACATGGCCAGTTGGTTTAACTAGTTTGGATAATGAATTTAACCAGATTAACATCCCTATCTTTGGTTATTTCATACGTGATAAAATTATATAAATTACCATTCAAAATCTAATTATATGTCAAGAATGTCTAATTTGGCAATTTTCAAAAAGGACTCTTTCAAAGAGTTTTTAACAAAAATTTCCCACTTGGATACCGATGTACCTAACGACCTCCAGTTTTCTGTATTTATTTTCAAAAGCCACCCTACTGCTGGTGGTTATAATTTTACATGCGGTTTTTTAAATTACAAGATCGGCTTTGATGGGCATAATTACGTGTATGATTTCTCATCTGATATTAATCTCGAGAGTGATCTTGAATTAGAATACATGATCAATGGCATTATAACGGTGATTCCTAGAAGTAAGAAATATTTATCAGAAGACATAGCACCCGATTTCGGCGCAGAATTCAGAGATGCGTATGAAAATAAATTTTCCATTGAACCTAACATTTTTCAATCCTCATTGAAATTTAAGGAGGGTGTTGTATACATAAAATGGGAAGAAGTTGTTAAAGATGACAAAATATTTATTAAATTTAAAAGTTTACATATACCTCCTGATATTTTGAAATTATTTATTATTATACATTACTATGAAGATTTAGTAATACTATATGAGTAATTTTTGGCCCAGTGATTCGATGCATTTTTTCTTCATGCAAATAATTTTTTTTAAAAAAAATTATCTTTTAATAATTTCTTTACTGGATATAAAAAGATTTTTTAAATCTTAATAATACTGAATAGCAGTGTTGGTAATTGTCACATCCATTTATTGTTCATTCATTATATTATTTATAACATTAGTATTGTAAAATAATTTTTTTTATATGTTGCACACTGGGTGAAAGATCAGTCTAGGTTTCCTCCTGTCGATGGATTTAAAGTAACCCGTGATATCTCTACAATTGAAACAAACAATATTAACTGGACCTGTTTTAATAAATATATAAATGACAGAGGTTATTGCCACAAAAATTTTAGAGTGCAGTTTATGCAAAACCACATAATCTGGACACTATACAAAAATGAATTCAAGTTTTTTAATACCAGAAATTTGGGTCGAAATTTTCCAATACATAGCTTCTCTTAAATTTTATTCTTTACATAATCTCCTTTTAGTTAATCGCTCATTTTGCTCC